CATACAGGGCAGTCCAGCTGGCAGCTCAGATAATGGATTGAACCAGTGGTACCCCCTCATTACATCCTGCTCTATGTGAGCAATCTGCAGTCCTGTTTTCTTCTGCTTTCTTCAGTAGCGCAGGAGGCATTAATTTTCTCTTCTTGTAGTCCTCTCCTGCAGAGGCTTAGGCCTTCACAAACACTGCCTGCTTGCCACACACATGTATGCATGTATGTATACCTCTTCTAGAGCCTCTGTGTGCCTATAGGCAAGCTAAAGAAACCCAAAACGAGTCTAATCCACGTTTTTTTAGCTAACCAGTGAAGTTTCTGGTAATTGCCAGGTGCTACAATGGAAGATAAACTTTATTTCACTGATATGTGAACTTGCTTCTCCTTACATTGGTTAATTAGTTTCTTCACATGCACGCAGGTAGCATCTTGATTCAGACCAACTTCAGAGAAGTTGTGCTTTACTGCTTTGTTTTGAATTAATGTAGCTGGAGCAAATCAGACATACTACAACTGAAAGTGAAAACCAACCTCCTGTTTAAAACCTATTATCCATACTTTATACAAAGGCCTCTTTACCCACCTAAACACAGGCTAAATACTACTCCAGTTTGTCCATACTACTTGTTATGTTGTTGTCACGCTTGTCACAAATGAGATCTCGTTGCTTTATTTCTGAGATCGCTTTCAAATACCAAATACACTATGAATTACTCCATCTTCACATACCCCAGTTACCAAGTCATCAGAAAAATTTTGCTTAGGGAACAACATATAATAGTTGAGGAGGGGAAAAGGGCACTTAAGTTAAAACCTAACTTTTTCATATGGGTTCATTAGTGTTGTCCTCAAAAATGTGATTACAGAGATTTAATATAAAGAAACAGAAATTTATTTACAAGTGAATTGAGATGAGTCAGTCTTCTCTACCTATTTCAATTCAGCTAGTATTTCATGAATAAGGGTTAGACTAAAAAGAACAAGATACCAAATAACATATCCTCCATAACTGCAAGTTTAAGCAAGCTGAATACATAGCTGCCCGAGCTTATGCAGTTTGTTTCACTGCAAGGCTCTATCGTAATAAGCCTCAAGACTGTGACTGGTGCCAGCATCTCCTCAGTTTATGCTAATTTGTGCAAATACATTTAGTTCTGATGATTGAAAAGCTGTTTCTGTGTTATGATGTACTGCTTAGTGAGTAGAATTAGTAACTTTGGAAGGACACTTCAGTGGAATTAAATGAAGATTTATTTTGTGTTTTCTCTGCATTCATGATGACATGCCAATGAAGATGGCTAAAAGCTTGAGAGGCCACAGTGATGGGGAAGGGTGGCCGCGATACATAAGATTCTTGTGATCCCCACTCAAAATCCAGACAGTTTTTCTTTACATATAAATACGCAGTATAATGCAAGAAGTTGGTGCTCTCTACAACCTCAGAACGTAGCAGTCCTGGATCATGCTGTATGAGGTTGAAGCCTGTAAATAGCTATTAGGCTTTGTACTGTCTCTCTCTTATCACTGTTGCATCAAAAGAGACAAACTGGTTTCCAGTGACTCCAGAGAATTTCCAAACCCTCCTAGTGATCCTGTGCTGAAAACGAGCCTAGAGAACTTTCTCATGTAAATGGTTTATCTGATTTTATCAAAGTCCTTTTTGTTTAGGAGTTTTCTTGGGACTGGTGAGGATTTTTAAAACTGGTGTCCTGGTGAAATTTTTCCATTGATGGGATCACTATAGCTTGAGACAAACAGGGTGCTGCATCTGTGGATCACAACACAGCTTCTGAGGTCCACAGGAACCTCAGTGGAAAAGAATTTGGACTTGACATCTACCCACTGAGACTAAATATAACCTCCTGGTAAACATTAAAACTTCAAGGGCTTTGTGGCTGATGATCATGTTGAACTCCAGGACATCCAGCAAGTGAGTAGGGTGGAAAACAAACATGAAAAGAAATGTAGGGGGAGGGGAAAGGGAAGGGTTTGAAAGCTGGTGGAGAGAACAGCAAAGATTTTGGTGACTAATACTTTCTGCCTGGTTCAAGGGTTTGTCAATTTAATAAAGATGAAGCATTCATAAGGCTGAGATAGCTTAACCGCTAGTGTACCAAAAGAAGAAACTATGGATTGCTCTAGCACCTTATGTTCTAATAGACAACTACAAAAGATGCTGCTTCCTTGGCTGTTCCATCTTGTTTCTTCTGCTTTAAATAGGATAATTAGCATCCTCTGCACTATGGTTTTTGCTTTGGACATTTGAGCACTGAAATCTGTCTGTAACTATCAGATGGGTCACCAAAGAGCTGGAAAATAGTACCAGCTTTCAGTCCCTGCAATGTGGGCTGGATTTGACCCACTGGTACTTGGAAGGCTCTGTATCCCTGCCACACCATAAGCTCAATGATCTAGTCTGTTTCCTCCAAGCATAAAGAGCAGAGCCTTTAGTTTCTGAGCACAGCAGCAGACAAGGACAAGCAAGATTCTAAAGCAGGTCATAAACTACACTATTCAAATATGTCTAGCACTATCATGAGTATCTTCTAGCCTGCAGTAATGTTCTTAGCCTTCAATTCACCCCTAAATAGCAGCTCATCTAGCCGTACAGCACATGGAAGAAGCTCTACTCCATAGCAGAAGTTTTTGATTATTTCTTAGTAAACAGGTTTGTGAGTTACTGGGGCAGCTGTTTAAAGCCCCTTGCATGTGTACTTGAGTGTTTTCACCACTGCTTGGTGAGATGGACAGCTATCACCCTATCCATTTGACAGACTGGTGGACTCATGTGTACATGTGTATTGGTATTTAACTAGTTCAGTACCACTGTAAAGCAGAGGAGACCCAAAACTCTTGTTCTAAATCAGTAAAACCCGTTATGTGTTTCATAAAAAGAAACATTTGCCAGTCCTGGAAGTCATTGCTTGTTCTGTTAGCTTAACTCCTAGTGTCATATAAACTTTTTTCAAGCCTGTCACAATTTCTTTTAAAAAAAGAAAAAATTTCAAACACCTTAGAAAACATTCTGCAAGAGGAGTAAGAGGCATTTAGGCCTATTTAAAACTCAATCCAAACAGAGACAGACCTGTTGCCAGCAAGGAGGGAAACTTGGCAGCGTTGTTTAAAGCTTCCCACACAGACATGAGACGCAAGAAAACAAAGAAGCTGTAGTCCCCGAGGGTCTTGCCACTCCCAGGGCAAAACCAGTCCCTTCCCTGCTTTTCCTCTAGCTCTCACAGACACGCACACACTCTCTTCTTTCGGTGCCACTAGCTACAGTGATAACCAGTTAAGCCTTACAGACCTGGAAAAAATACAGGAAATGAAGAGTTAAACAAAAAAGAAAAAAAAGGCAAAAAGAACAGAGAACTTGGAGGCAAGCCAGCGTCCCCGAATGACTCCAGCTCAGCCGGCAGCTCAGAGCGACACTCCCCACCGGCCCTGCCCTCCCTCTGCTCTCCCCGCAGGGCGGGCATGGCCCAGCCCTTCTCTCTTTATCAGGGGCAGGAGTTCCCCTTCTTGGTGTCCAGCTGGTTTGGGAGCCCAGGAACATTGCTAAATTTATCTTTCAGTTTTAGCACAATGGCAAATGCCAGAAATAAGAAAGGAAAAGAATGGAAAATTAATGGAGACCATTCCCTGCAAGCCAAGTGGAAGCACCTTTTCTGCGTAACAACCAAGGAGGCAAAAAGCAGTTACACAGTGCAAAGCAGGGCAAGCTGCCTGGGGTGCCAGGAACATGCTGTTCCTTTGGCTGTGCAGCACAATTGTCTATCCATATGCTCAAACTCGATGGGGCTTTCTTCTCTCCCACAGAGAGCAAAACATAACCTCAATTTAGAAGAGTTCTTGCTTTATTTCAGGAAGGCAGCAGGAAAACCTGAAGGCACACTGAGAGGCTGCTACCTCTGAACTAAAACTGTTCAAGAGTCATTAAGTCATATTTAGTCCTGAGGATCTTTTTCTTAATGCTCTGTATAAGTGAACTGACAGTAGGTCTTGGTAAACTAATTTGTTGTCTGAAATTACTCAATGGAACAGCTTGCACAAGCCTTTTCTACTTGATGCGGTGCCTTGCAATATGCACTATCATTAGTGTCTTCAGCAGAGATCGGTCTCAACTTTTGGTGTTCCCTGTCTGGAAGCCATCCTGTTTCCCAGCAGCAGGCAGAGGAATGAGGTCTGGCAAGTCATGGGGCCTGTTTCAAGATGGCCCTCCTAATACTTTCGGTGCATAACTTTCACAGCACTTGCAAGACCTCCACATTTTCAATGTGTGTGTCTCATAAATTACAAAGCAACAAGTGGTCAGATAAGCCCACACCAAGAAGTAAACACTGAACACTAATCAGAACAAGTTAGTGTTTGCATTTGAATGTGTTTTGTTTTAAAATCAGTTTTATCCATCTGGCAAAAGCTTGAGACTGCCCATGTCTCCTTCTCTTTACACTTAGATAAATGTCTCCTTGTGACTCATGTTCAGCCTCTCAACTGCTTTCCTGCCTACTCTAGCTTTCACACAAGTGCCTGCTACAGAAGGAAACAGACACACAGCCATTCAGGTGCACCTAGAACATTTAATCTTAAAATATTGAGAGTATTGATGCTTGCAGGGGAAGTGATAAGCTGGTATAAAGGTAGTGACACGAGCATGGGGTAGGAAAAAGTAGATGGGGAGGGTAAGAAGCATTGGAAAGAGAAGTAGAGGACACACTGAACAAGAAGGCTAACAGCTAAAAATTACAGCTTGGTACAATCCACACAGACGACCCACACGCCATTCCCTGTGACATTAAGTAATATAAAAGGGCAACATTAGCTTTGAATCTCTGCCCAGTAAGGTTCTATTCCCAGAGGGTTTTTTTGTTGTTGTTGATTGGCTTTCCCGAGCTTGACTTCTGAGAGGTGAAAGCATAAGGGTGGCCAAATACAAGTTTGTTTGGTTTTGTTTTTCAATGTTAATTACCAAGCTGTAACAAACAAATCTCTGGCTAGATTGTAACTAACCTGTGTGGGTCCTTAGATGAGCTTTAAGATGGGAAGATTTGCCATAAACTTTTTCACACCCCCCATAGTGGCATTTGTGCTTTTTCTGGGGTGATCCAGGGTCAGTCCAGCTTCTCGTGCGTTTGTTCTTTTGTCTGGGGCTTGGCTCAGTTACTGCAGCCAGGCTAGTAGGTGTGGCTGCTCTTCCTCCTCCACGCTTACCAGCCGAAGACACACTTTCTTCCCCAAACTCCTTATGAGCAATAGAAATGTGTATTTGTTCTGTGATATCAAAGGTCTCTGTTTTTTCCATCCTTAGGGCAGGTGAGTTTGGAACATGCTGGTTGAGATCAGCTAAAATGCTAGCTACCACAAGTAATGATGATCCATTGTCTTTCCCAGTTTCTCTGACTTCCCGCTTATCTTCTCCATTTGACGAAGGAGGTATTGCTGCATCAGGCTGGGGATCAGGCTCGCCTTTGGGACTATGGATAATAGCACGACTGGACATAGAGACAAGGCACTCTGCTGCAAAATGATCCACGTATGCTGCTGTTGCCATTTTTTCTAAGTTTAAAAAGAAATCCAAACGGAAGAAGAAAAAACCCCCTCAGCACTGCTCTTTTCCTTTTTAAAAAGATTATGCAAGCAGACTTTTTCTTATTCTCTCTCTCTTATTTCTTAGGATCTCTTTGTAGAAGTAAAGGCTGAATTAGCAGCCATCAAAAACACACTTTGTTCGTGACGATCACACCCAGCTTGTCCCTAAATCAAAAAAAAAGCGTTGGAAGTCCAAGGGAAAAGAAAAAGAAGAGCAGATAGATCCTGGCAGTGTCAGCTTGCTGCTTGGAGCATGAATTAATGCTGTTTTTCCGAGAGCGCAATAAAATAAAGATGCGGTTTCCCCAGCCCTTCCATTGCGCTGTGACAGTAGAATAAGCTTTCCCCGTTATCGCCTCGGAGTCGCCCGGACCCCTGCGGGGGCGTGGCCTGGGAAAACATCTGGGCCTGACGTCACCGCGAAG